ACGCAACACAACACAACACAACACAACACAACACAACACAACACAACACAACACAACACAACACAACACACACAACACACACACAACACACACAACACACACAACACACACAACACACACACACTCACACACATTTTTTCTCAATTAAATGCGCACCTTGCTGTTTTGTTGCAGGTCATCTCCTTTGGCTACAGGGAGAGTGCAGCATCCTTGAATGATAGGAATCATTTGTCCAGGTTCTCGACTGAAGCCTAGGTCACACTGTCGCAAATCAAGACTTACACAGAGATGGATAGCCATGAAGAGAGGCTGTGGGGAACTTATGCCAGATGTTGATACCCTTGTCTTGGTGAAAACATCTTGCGCATGATGTATGGATCCAAGGCACATGATGGTGGAGCAAAGCAAGATCAACGAGGCGTGTTTGGCACCGTCACGTTGCGCATGAGTGCTGGGAGCAAGGCCAGAGAAATGGCCAAGAAGAAACAGATGGAGCTGGCCGGTTCCTCATGTCTCATTTAACTCAAGCCACGACACGCATCTCTAAGGCCAAGCAGCGCGCTTTGCAGCCCAAGGATGCTGCTGGGCCCGGCTTTGGTAGCCTTAGCCCCAGAACATCATTTGACGGCTGGTTGGATGCGTGTCCCATTTGTCCGCATTTGTTCCCATTGAAACATGTGAGGTGACTCGCTACCTGGCATAGGTCCAAGCAGCATGGGCAACCTAGCTGCATCCTGTTGTTGATCCTACCAGGTTGCCCATATCTTTCAAATACACCAGCATAGACCCCAGATAGCACACCACGGCTACGAACCATGACGCAGCATCATAATGGTTCCCGCGGCATGATGATGCTGATGATGATGATGATGATGATGATGATGATGTTGACAGCATCTTGATGATGTTGACTGCATCATGAAAATACCACAGCTACTCAGCATAGTGCGCTACATACACGCGCAGACAACGTCCTAGTGAGCCCATCAGCAAAACAATGATGTTGACAGGATGATGCTGATACACCAGCCACGAACGATTCCGCGCTACATATCTAGCAAAAAAAGTCAGAGACGACGCCCTGATGAGTTTTGTTTTTGGTTTTTAGCGTTTCTGTCGCAATTAAGGGGGGCCCCGGGCACCAGGGTTCTGCAAACTGTTTTTTCGGAGGCCAGTTTCCTCACCTGCACGCTGTTTTTTACGGAGGGCAGCGACCTCGCGTGCACACGACGGCTACCGGGCCGGCAGCCGCGACGCCCCAGGGGAAGATGGGCACGCAGCGAGAAGGTCAGTCAAGTCCGGGCAAAGCCCATCAAGGTTGCTCAGGCCAGGGGAGGGCAAGGAAGTGAGGCTGTCAGCGAAGGCGAGCGAAGCTGCAGCGCACAACAAGCCAGACCATGAGTTCGACAGCATCATGATGACGCGGACAGCATCATGGTGATGCTCAAAGCATCATGGTGATGGCAAAGGCAGCATCTTGATCATACCATAGCCACGAATCATCTTGCGACAGTGTAATGAAATTCAGCATCATCTTGATGTTGACCGCACTATGCCCGCCACCACACCCACAAACCGTAATGCGGCATCGCGGCGATTGCAGCAGCATCGTAACGTGGTTGACAACATCATGATGATACACCAGCCACGAACCATTACGCGCGACAGTTAGAGCGGCAGCAACGTCCGAATCGGTTCAACAGCATCATGATGCCGCTGACAGCATCATGATGCTGCGGCCAGCATCATGATGACGCGACAACCACGATACCCCAAACAGCACCCGCCCTAGCACCCTGCCATCCATATGCGGCCGCACCATCACCAACACCCGAAAACAGCAGCCCCAACAGCACCCCAACGCAGCGCCCGCGCCAGCACCGGACACGTCCCCGAGCACCCTGCCGTCACGTACTCAGCACCTCAAGCAGCACCCCAAACAGTACCCCAAAACAGCTGCATCAGTTCCCCAAACTGCATGCGGCCATCAATCTTGCAAGAATGCGCCTGCACCATCACCAGCACCTCAAACAACACCCCAAACGGAGTGCCCCCCCGCTGTCCATCAGCGCCTTAAACAGCACAGGCACCAGCACCTTAATCAGCACCGCAAACCAGATGCCTCGAGCATTCGGATCACAAGTTTATAAAGTGTGTCACTGTTAATTCGAAACTGCATGCCCTCGTAGCATCTGCTTGCCAACTTGTGCGCACCTCTACAGCACTCCAAACCATGCCCCTATCCCGCAAAAGCGGCACTTCATCATAATTCGAAACCGTATTTCTCGAAGCGCGGACGCCATCCCGCAAACGCGACTTCCACAACACCCAAAGCCATAATGCCCCATCTCGCAGCGGCACCCACCAGCAATTCGAAACCGCATGACCCCAGCGCCCGCTGATCCTGCACAGGACCTCCACCAACACCCAAACCACGCCGCCCTAGCACCACGTTACAATCTTGCAAAGCGGGCAATTTCCACCAGCGCCTGGAACCAGATGCCTTTCTAGCATCCGGCTGTCAATCTTGCAAATGCTGCCTTCCACCAGCACCCCAAACTACATGACCCCTAGCACTTGGCCGTCAATCTTGCAACACAGCACCTCCACCAGCACCCCAAACTGCATGCCCCCTAGCCAAAGTCCGTCAATCTCGCAAAACAGCACCTCCACCAGCACTGCAAACTGCATGCCCCCTAGCACCCGGCCGTCAAGCTCGCAAAGCAGCACCTCCACCAGCACCCCAAACTGCATGCCCCCCAGCACCCGGCCCTCAATCTCGCAAATCACTTTCGCTTCTTTATTAGAAGTTAGAACCCCTATAGCTTTCAGCTATCTGGGGAATCAAAAAACCTGGAGCATCACTACGGTTCTACTGCCTGGCTTCTTTAAGATAACAGCAACGCGGATACCCATTTGCGTAGAACCAGAAGTCAATGGGTTTTCGGCGATGCTCACGTCAGGTGTGGTCAAAGTATCTAGTAGTTTTCCGTCGCACGCCTGGATATGGCAAGCGCATGCCAGCGCACCTGCCCATGCACTCCGTCGCACTCCTGCGCACATGCCAAGCACACCCGCCCACGCACTCCGTCGCACGCCTGCGCACGTGCTACTCTCTGGACATGTCATTTTCCTGTTCTCATTGGGGCAAATCCACTGAGGACACTATTTTCGTTTGTGATGAAGTTTGTCATTTGCAGCCCTATCTTGGCCAGATTGACGTTGATTTGGAGTCACGGCGAGGGGCTTCTGAGATCCCTGTCTGCCCATTTGCAAAGAACGTAGAGCCGCACCAATCATTCGGAGAACCACTAGATCAAATCACTACGCCCGTACAGCCTTGGTTTTGCCCAGGTCAAAATGTTTTGTTGTTGAGCTCCAAGATGTTGGCAGCCGTGTGACCTCCAAATTGTTTTTCTCGTGAACCAGTTTTTGTGCTGCCGCCTCAACAGTTTCGACGAACGGTAAAACACTGGGCGGCTAGTGTATGGTCCATTTCATTCGGGAGGCACACTGGGAATTCACTAAACTTCACATGAACGCCAGGAGGCATACGAATTGTCCCACGCCCAGTAGGAAACCGCATCCTTTGAGCGCGGCTTATGTGTGTTGCAAGAACTTTGCTTTCCCTTGGGTCAAGATGCAAGGATTTTTGGTACGTTTGCATGCTCATTGCAAGCTGCTCATTGCAAACACGTGTAAGGCAACAGCTCTTTCCAAGACACTATGCCTTCGAGCGGCGGTCCTGCCCACAGCCAACAAGGGCTCCTTCCTAAAATGCTCAGTGACGATTCCCAGCTGAAGGATTTGGAAACGACATGGGATCTTCTGCCCCCTGGTCCAGTTCAATGGCAGAGGACATGTCCGAATGTCTAGCTTGCGTTATGCACAGCAGCCTTTGCATGAGGACTCTGGGCCAGCCCCACTCAAACCTGGCGCTCCGAAAAAGGGTATGGCTTGCCCCTCAGCAATCTCACATCTGCGGTGACCGTGTTACAATGCACAGAGCTACACTGCGAGAATGCGCCAGGCATTGGGGAAAAAGAAGCCAGCAGATGTGCTTGGAAGTGGCTGCCTGATGTGCTTGGGCATGTGGTGAAATGGCAATAGCGAAAAACACTTGACAAACCCAGACACTTTGTCAGGCATGGGACTTCCGGAGCCAGCACCTTCTCCTGAGGTGGACGATGACATGACACGAAGTTTCAGAATGGTGTAATCATGGAGAAAGAGAAAGGATAATTACATGAGGGAATACGTAAACAAGTGGGGAGAAGTGAGAATGAATAATGCCAGGAAAGTGATGAATGAAAAGGTCAAAGAGTCAGGACAAGAGAAGCACTCCCAATCTCGAAGCCACCTTTTTACAATTGGCTTCTTCATTGGTCAATATTTTGTGTGGATGGGATGAAGAGGGTAATTTGTTGCAGGTGGCAGAAGAGCCCGCAGTTCAACCCTTATTTAGCGCATGCTGTGAGGGTGCTGTGAGGGGGCGTGAGGGTGCATGAGGGTGCTGTGCAGTAGTTGACTCACACCGTGTGTGTGACCCTGAGCTTGCCAAGGCTCCTGCCTACAACCCTTTGCCTGAGTCCTGGATGTTGCCAGACGTTGTGTGTGCTTCAAAAGCAAAAAGACATGGTTGCAACAATTCCGAGGATGGATCCAGTCAGAGTGGACATTGAGGACGGCGAACACACCCTTTAGATGCGTCATTTGGCGCAGCGAGTTGGCTGGTCATTATTATTCTTCCCTTGCAGATCAGACAAGCAGCTTGCACTACATCCCAAGAGTACAACATAGGGGAGAAGTCTGCTGACTTTGGTTTGATGTTGCTTCAGTGGTCCAATGTGATGACATGCTGTGTTTAGTTGGAGCCGATTATTCGTCCTGAATTGTGGCTCACTAGTTTAGACTACCTGGCTTTCCTCTGTGCGAACTGGGGGAATTGCAGGAGAAGATCACTGCGGACCTGCAGGTTGAAGGAGGGTTGCTCGCCGGCATTTAAAGATTACCGGACGGACTTTCTTGATTCCATTCTCGGTGCAGCCTTTACTTGTTGACGCCCTCATTTAGGCTGGATGGAGAAGCTGTTTGTACTGGCCAATTTCAGGCAGGGAAGAGAAGAGCAACTGTTTTGAGAGAGGACTGTCTTGAGGTCACCGTGCTGGATGCTTCAAAAGCGGATCTTGCAGCCTTCAGGATGGGGTAACTCCGAGCAATATGGCATTCGCAGAGCACATTCCTCAGGCTGGCGCCGCAGAATCAGGAGTTCAAGTACAAGGCTCGTTCACCTGTTCTTGAACTTTGCATCCACGCATTGAACTTATCTAAATGTTGTCGAAGATACATCCGAATCTGAACAAGACGCAGCTAGCCCAGAACGCTCGGATCAATTTGCACGTGCCAGCTTGTTACATTGGGTGAACTTGCCTTTGAATACTGAGGTCACATGCCAACAACGTTTTAGAGGTGAGAGAAGCATCTCGCGCTTATCGAGCCAATGCACCTGTGCCGCTGGTGAAATGGCAGTCATCATCCTAGCGCCAGATATCTCGCGACGGCATTCTTTTGGACTTGTTCTGAACTGCCTCCCACGTGAGGTTCAAGAGCAGCAACGAGGAGTTCCTCCCTGTGTCCAGCACTGAAGCACTGAATACAGAAAACCAAGGCATGGTCCAACCAGCCTGGCTTCAGGCAAATGAGCTGCTGGCCTTCAACAACTGCAGTTGGGATCTTATATAGTTGCATTTTCTGATTTGAGCGGGCTGCGGCTCGCTAATTCAGCTGCCCGATTTGCCCAGCAGATCACTTTAGCTGTAGAGGCACAATGAAGGCCACATGCCACGAGGACGGAACCCAGATCGTACTTGAGCTGGAGCTCACTGACACTAGCGTCACCCTTGAGGCACGTTTACATGCTTACTTTGGAGAACTCAACGTCACACATGCCAGCCAAGATATGTATTTCCAGGATGTTCAGATCAGATTCCCAGCTGCTGCATCATCAAGGCTGGCACAGGATGCGCACAACAAATGCTTTCAGGAGGATGTGCATGTGAGCGAATGAGGCCTCAAATCACCAGTGCTGAGCCGGGTGAAGCCAGCTATGATGGTCAAACTGAGGCGGGGCATGCTTGCTGCGGCCAGCAGTGAAATATCGGGTTGACACCTGCGTATCATCGCTGGTAGCCACGAGACATGCCAAGAAACTGCGCAGGTTTGTTGGAGGATTCCTGTTTTGGACAAGAGTGAGCCGGCAGCCTGGAGAACTGCAAAGGACCTACTTCATTACTTCAGCTCAGACATGTCCCTGCAAGGGCCAACGGCAATCTGGAGTTCGTTGCAAAGACAGACTCCGCATCTTTGATGTGGGATCCCAAGAGTGAACACGAGCAGGAGCTCACGTGGCATGCACAGCTTCCCGTTTCCAAACCTGATTGCAACCATTTGCTTTGCTGCATTTGCAAAGCGTGTCTCCCCAGTTGAGTCACAATCAAAGCCCGGGTAATTGGAGGGTAGCAAGGGACAATCCAAGCCATAAACGGGTGGCCGCCTCTCCAATTCTTTACATGGTTCTGGGTAGACCAATTTCATAGCATAGCTTAACGTTTGTTTGCGTTGGTCTCTAGCCTGCCGCGGTGAATGCAGCAATGCAGCATCAAAAGGTCATCGCTTCCGCACTTGATTTGGTTTGTGATCACGCCAAGGCCGTTCACCTTCGATGCTGTTAGGCACTCCAAGAGACTGGGTGATTCATGTTTTGATGCGCCTCAGTTTCGGTGCTTGCACCGGTGTCAACCTGCAGGCGAGGTGCCACCAAGTGCCCCATGGAGATAGTCGAATGCTACCACATGGAGAAGAAGGCTTGCTACAAAGCCTTGGACATGCAGAGCCTAAGATGCACAGCTCGCACTTGGTCAATGCGTGAATGGGAAGGAGCCCATCGCATTCACCTGCGAAAAGGCGGGATCAAGCTTTGCGTGTCATTGCTGGCAAACTTCAGCTTAGCTTCTGTACCGTGGCCAGTCGTGCACCTATTCCTTCCGAGCTCGGAACTTAACACGAATTGAATTGCTGGAGAGCTGCCCTTTGTTGATGCTGTTTGAGTTGTATATTCGGAGCAACCAAGATTGGTGCGTGAAGCGTGAAAGTCAACGTGAGACCGGGTTGTCCTGTCTCACCCATTTCACCAACATGCCACAGCGTTCGGGTCAAGTCAAATTCAACTCACACTTGAACTCAATCAAATTTACCATCATCATGAAGCAAAGACACTCCCAAGCCGCATGCAGAATCGGCCATGAAATAATTGTCCAGACTCGACTCATGCTAAAAATAATATACTCTTTAGCCTAAACAATATTATTATTGTTGATTATTATTTATATATATATACATAATATTTTTTGCGGCTCGGCGGAATTGTTTGGGATGTTTGTGGTAAAGCCTCGAGTTTTGGGTCGTTTTGGTAATTTGGTATTAATAATTTTAAATATTATTTGATAATTTGTTTAAAAAATATTAACTTTTAAATAATATATTCTTTTTTATTTGTTTATTTATTTATTTTATATTTTTTTATTTGTTTTTTGTTTTCTTTTTGTTTTTGTTTTTTAGATATATATTTTTTATGTTTGTAGATTTGTGGTTTATGTTTTTTTGTGTATATTTTTGTGTTGTTTGTTGTTATTATGTTGTTGGTTTATATTGTTTTTTTATAATTTATTGATTATTTTTTTTTTATTATATTTTGGATTTGATTGGTAATTGGATTGAATTGGATTTATTTGTTGGCTTTATTATTATATATTATGTAATATATTGTTTAATTATATTATTATATAGAATGAATTATTAATTCGGGTTTTATAGGTTATTTTGCTTAGGATTTTTTTTTTATTTAGGGCATTTATGAAATCTATTTTTTGAAATCGTTTTTTTAAATAGCCACACCAAAGGCGAACCTTTACTTTGCGATATTCGATTCGGCTTTTGTTGTAATTTACTGTAGGCTTTGCGTCGGACTTGTGGATTAGAGTCTCGATTGACGCCGGGTGTTATTTGGCGTAAGACGATTGCTGCCAAGAGGGCAGAGATAATGTCGACATATTTGGAAGCTGCGAAATCATAAGGAAATATAAGAAATAACACTGGATCGACTAGTTTTAGTACGGACTTGCAAGGTCATCTTGCTTATTATTCTAATATTTATATTTATTTTATATATTTTTTTTTTTTTCGATATAATTAGAATGATTGTTTTATTCAAAATTTATAATGTATATTTTATAAATGGGATTAATTAAATAGATTATCATTTCTTATTTATAATATATTTGATTTTAATTATTTTTTTTTAATTATTTTCTTAATTTATATATTATATTTTTTAAATGAATTTGTATATAAAATAAGGGATATAAATACCATATCCGCCGATTTGTGTTTCTTTAAATAAGAAATATCTTTATCTTAATTGTTCTTATTTTAATAATAATATATATAATTATTATTAAGTATTAATTTGTAATATTTTAATTATTAGTATTATAATAATTATTATATATAATTTAAATATATTATTTATATTTAATTAAATATATAGAAACTATATTAATATTAATTTATATTTTGATTAATATTATTATTATAAAAAATATATAATAATAATATTAATTCTTAATAATAAACAAAAAATATAATAATAATTCTAAAATTGTTATATATAATAATAAATAAAATATATAATATATATATATATTAATAAAAATAATAATAATAATTTTATGTTTTATATTATTATAATTATTAATTTCATTTTTATAATCATAATTATTATTATATTCATTATTTGCATTATTATATTCGTTATCGATCTTCTTTTTCATACATATTTATATTATTAAACCCGATTAAATATATAAAGAATATTATATATTAATAATCATAATAATTATTAATCAAACTAAGAATGCCTAATATATATTATTAAAATAATAATAATAATTATAATATTCATCCATAATAATTATAAAAAAATAAATAAAAATTATTTATTACTATCATTAATTTTATTATTATCATGTTCATTATAATAAAAAAAATCTCATAGAACCTATAATATTTTTCACTATATAATAAAACCTAACTAACAATCCAAAAATATATTATCATTTTAATTAATATTAATACCAAAAAATATATAATAACAATATTAATTATTAATAATATTAAAAATATATAATAATAATTTTTATCAAACTAATAAATATAATAATAAAAAAATAGAATTCTATTAATTATTATCATCCTTTCACTATCATGATTTTTATCATTATATTCCTTATCATTCTCGCTCTGTTTTGTTTCATCACTCTTCTTTTTCATTTATGCTTCAAATATACTCTTAAATACGATTAAAAAAATATAATAATGTTATAATTTCCATAATAACTAATAATTCATTATATCCATCCCTCCACACTATAATCTTCTTCTTTTTCGTATATATTTCAAACAAATCAATACTATTAATATATAATAAGACGTATTATTAATACGAGCGGGGGCTTGCTGCTTTCCAACAACGTGCGAAATGCAGCCCATGGCAAGAGAATAACAGAATCAACATATAAATTATAAAAAATATTCAAATTTATAATCGTAGACAAATATGTATGGGCAAATCATCCCCAAAATATAAAAATGAATTCATAAAATGACAAGAAAAATATAAGACCTAATAGAATTCCACAAAACAATAAGCTAATAGTCGGCCACTCCGATAAATCAATTTACTGGTGAATTCAAATAAAATTACCAATATAAAGCGCCCCCAAGGGGTCTTTATAATGAGCTCGTTTAAAACCCGATCCCGGAGCTTACGATAGGACAAGCAAAACCCAATAGTCATAAAAAAAAGATTATATTTATTTAGTTAGTTAATTTTAATAAGGGACTTTTACCTTTCGCAACAAATTAATACGGGGAATTCCTCAATTTAAGTGCTTGATATCCATATTCATCACGAAATCCGTAGACTGCTTACTAAGAATACGCTAACCCTCAGGTGACAAAATGGCTGGACTTTAAAACCTTTCCATGCTTTCAAGCTAAACACGTCGCGCCGGCTAGATGCATGCCACCAAATATACCCAAAAGCAGGAACTTCGTCTAAAACGTTTCTTTAAATACCCTATAGCCGTGCTACTTCCAATTTCCCCACGACCCTAATGGAAAACAAATACCTATTAAGGATACTCCCCAAACTTAAAAAGAGGAAAAAGGTGGCACTAACCAATAACTTGGCTGCTATAAAGGCACATAACCATCCATCATACCGAGTCGTATCGCCAGCAATTACAGATTTATAGCACTTACACTGCAACCTACCGAAAAGAAAGCAATTTGAAATATATTTGCATAACGCTAAAGATTTGTAACCGGAACATTCTTAATAATTAAACAAAAATCCCAAAGCAAATCCAGCCAAGAGTTCCCAATCAAATATGCTACATCAATCCCTATACCAATCCTATTTGCAATTTCTCTCCAACCAAGGCTAACTCCGTATCCCAAAATTCCATTTGAGATCACGATAGGCGGCTTTCCAAACTAGACAGGCTTAGCCAAGATTAATATGCCTTCTCGATTCATAAATATTCCAATTATTATTCACCGAAAGATCAACTTGAGGCATTACATACCTCATGCTCATTATGAAAGCCGCAGACTGAGAACATGCTAACCCTCAAGTAACAAAATGGCTAGACTTTAAAACCTTCCTGCGCCAAGCTGAACACGTGCCGACTAGATGCATTCCGCCAAATATAACCAAGAGCAAGAATTTCGTCCACTCGTCTCTTCAAACCCCGCACAAACGTGCTACTCCCAGTTACCCAACGACCCTAGTAGAAAACGGGTACCTATGTTAGCGATGACCCCCAACAACTTAAAAAGGAGGAAAAAAAGGTAAGACTAACTAACTACTTAGCCGCCATTAAGACGCATAATCATCCATCGTACCGAGCCGTGCCGCCAGCAATTGCAGACTTGTGACACTTATACTGCAGCCTATCGGAAGCAAAGCAACTTAAAATACATTTGCATAACGCTAAAGGTTTGTAACCGGAACATCCCCAATAGTTAGATAGAAATCCCAAAGTCAGCCCAGCTAAGGGTTCCTAATCAATCATACCCATAACAATCCCTATACCAATCCTGCTTGCAACCTCTCTCTAATCAAGACTTACTCCGCGTCTTTAAAATTCCACTTGAAATCGCGAGGCCGTCTTCCAAGCTACACAAGCCTAGCCGACATTAATATGCCTTCTTGATTCACCAAGATTCCAATTAGTGTTCTCCGGAAAAATTAAAACATATAATCCAACGATTTATACATAGAAAAAACCTATAATCTTCTCCCATTGGAAAGCCTCTATTCCTGTCCTCAAATCATTTTGACTACAAATGTATGGAACCCATATTCGTCAGCATGTTCATCATCATCATCATTTTCATCATGTTCATCATCGCTCTTCTTTTTCATATACGTTTCAAGTGTGCCGTTAGACCCAACTGGAAATGCAGAGGATGCGTTGTCATGATTGTCATGATAATTGGTGGTGATGCTGAGGATGCGTAGTAATGATTATCATCAAGATGATGATGATGAACATTATGATGAATATGATGATGATGATTAAAAAGATGATGATGATGATGATGAACATGTTCATGATGCCGTTGGGCCCGATTGGAAACGCAGAGGCGCGTTGTCATGATTATCATGATAACTGCTGGTGATGCCGAGGATGCGTAGTGATAATTATCATTAAAATAATGATGATGATGATGGTGATGAACATGATGATGATGATAATTGGGGGGAGGTACGTTCTGGGACCGCGTCCGTGAAGCCCGTAGTCCTTAAGCATACCGATCTTGGGGATGATTGATGATGATTATTAATAGTGATTATGATCACATTGTTTCTGGCCAAGCTTCCCCCCCCCCCACAAATCACCCACTTATCCACAATATTTCACCAACAACTTAAGAAAAACTGCTTTACCCCCAAAACCAACCACAATACAAAATGCAGACCCGTTCTGCGAAAATGAAAAAGATGTGCAATCACAACCCGCACCTGCCCAACCACGCAGCGCAGATCACAAACTCCGAAAAAAATCGCGAGAGTTTCGCCCTTCAGAAT